GCCTCATCCCGAGAAAGCTCATGTCCATGTCTTTTCTCAACATTGGCCTCATGGGCGAACCACGGGTACTTCACATTCATGTCCCTTGCATAGGTCTTGTGGGATTTTTTAATACAGAAGAATTGTAGCACTGTAGCCAGTTACTTTCTACTTAGCTACAAATGCTCAGAACGTTTGGGAAATGACCAAATGTATATACCATATATGGCATGTTCTGATACAATGGAGGTGGGAGTGTTTGTAATTTTTGATCTCTGATTTGTCTGGAATGAGGCAGGGGCATTTTCTGTGGTTCCAGATGGAGCAATAGCTGAGAAATGGCTGGGACTGAATTATGCTTTGATTATATTCCCGTTAGCCACTGGAAGGAGAATACTGATTGGTGGGTGGTGTTTTCTGGATTTGGAGGCCTATAGGAAAGGATCTGCTTCACCCCTGCTTTGGGAGAGATTTGGAGAGGACGAATGGTACCTTTGGGAAGCACCCTTTAAACCTCATCCCCCAAAGAGATGTATGGCATTTCTGCCTGCAAATTTCTTCAGGGACTCAAAAGTGGGTTAGGGCAGATGCTGCCAAACAGATTCTTAATTTTAAACTGCTTGCGCAATACACAGCAAAATGTTGTTTTCTCGGAACATGCGTAACTTAAGGAGTCCAGTCACTGAAAAAGTCTTTTGGGAAAAATGAATCCCAAGGAAGGAAGCAGCAGCAGAACAAGAGATTGGGAAATGTCTTTTTTCCTGGGGGAATTAAGCAGATGTCATCGCCCTGGAACTGACGCTAAATGAGTGCTCATGGGTGAAATATGAAGATTGTTATGGAGGCTAATTGGTATTAGAATTAACATTTTAGAAATATTTTGCCTGCAAGGATCACTTTTGAATGAACAAAAGGAATGAGATAGACGGATTGAATGGCTAAGTATGGCATTATAATAAGGTTGTTTTTGACTGGAAATGAGTCCTCACTCATCTCTCCAAAGTTCCTACAAAACGTTAGGATGACCCTCTTTTTTCGTAGATTTCTTCAGCAGGCACAAGAGGAAGATCCCTAAACTGCAGCTCCCTTATGTCAAACAGTCTGGAAAGTGCTGGGAACTTCAGCAGTGTCATGTCACAGAAATGTAAGCACCAACAACTTCGTGCAACAAAGCTCTGAAAGAAATGACTACAGACGCCACAGATGCCTCCCGTTCCTCCTGTCAGACCACAAAAGTAAGAGGGGGGTGAGGAAAGCAGGCCTCTTGCATTGACCACTGCTCCTTTGTCCAGGCAATCATCTGTTTGTGGACTCCTCTCTGCCAGACTTGGCTGTAGGACTCATGCTGCTGGCTGGATCCCTGACTGTACTATGCACCTGTCTTATGATGTTGGTCAAACTGCTGAACTCTGTGCTCAAAGGCCAGGTGGCCAGAGCTATTCAGAAGGTCATTAACACAGGTAGGCTGATAGGCTCTCTCCCTACCAGGTTGGAGATTTCTTGGGTCAAAAAGTTTAGATGCCGGGCCTCTGAAGGGCACCAAGTTCTTGTAGTAGAGCCCACCTTTGTGAATCCTCTCTTCTCCTTGCTCTTTTCTGACATTGTACTGGTTTGGGCAGATCTTCCATCACCTTTTGGATGGGCCACCGGTTACTTTGCCATGCTTGTTGGTGCCGGGATGACGTTTGTTATGCAAAGTAGCTCTGTCTTCACTTCAGCAATCACCCCTCTCGTAGGTAAGTCCCTCTACAACTTCCCTTCCCCCCCAAATCCCAGTAGCAACTCAAGATGGCGGAACTGTGTTGCACAAAAGAAACTCAGGATGAGCTGTGGACTTTTAGCCCTCTTCAAGAGTGCTAACTCTGCTAACAATGTTTCTTAGTCGCTTCTGTCCCATTCACCATGGCAGGAGGAAGTCTGGGGGTTTAAGGGTGTAGCTACTCTGGGATATAAGGAATAAATAAGCAAGATGTTACTGTCATACTTAAACAGGATGTAGTGATGTGCTGATTTGAAGGCACAGCTATCTGAGAAATTACTGAGTTACAAGGTGCTGGGCCTATATTCACATAACATGTTTAGTCAGATCAGTTAAGACCTATCAGGTGCGTAAGCAACAGCCTTGATAAGCGATCAGCTTGGTGATTTATCATGGCTTAACGTGGGTGCAAATTCATCTTGCTTTGTCCAGAATATACATAGACACATGGAAGGGATAGTCCATATTAGAGGTCATCTAGTCTAGACTTCTCCTTAGTATGGGATGCAAAGCTGGATAGTTTATTCAGTAACCTGGTGAAAGGAGATGACTGAACAGGGGCAATGTTTAACTGGAGTCATCTTCAGGAGCTCTGATTTTGTGGAATAAGGAGGGCTCCCTTTGCATTGCTCTATGGTGTATTGGGTGGGGAAGGAAGTTGTTGCTTTCTGACCAGCTCCTCTTCTCTTTTGTGGGACAGGTCTCGGGGTGATTAGCTTAGAACGTGTGTATCCACTCACTCTTGGTTCTAACATTGGAACTACAACCACGGCTATCCTAGCAGCCCTGGCCAGTCCCGGGGATAAATTGGCCAGTGCCTTGCAGGTGAGGAGATGCCCTCTTTCTATTCTGTTGAACTAGAGATAGTATGCTTCCCAGTTGGGTACTCCGAAGCCTCCCAGTTCTCTATGTTTTTGCAATATTTGGGCTTTAATTCGTGCTTTCTTGCCTTGTCATATAAATCGAGCCACTATTGTCTCCAAAGATTAAAAAAAAAATTTGTCCAATTTAGTTGGTGCCATTTGAAACAGAAACAAAAATTTTGGTAATACATATGTCTTAACTGTCGCAATCCTGCCCATCAAAGACAGTTGTTTACCACTACAATTAGTCATATCTTTGGATACCTGTTGTAGCAATTTCATATAGTTATCTACCTTGATAGAGGAACAGGGCNCCACCTGGTGGCCAACAGGCCTCTCTAGTCCCTGCTCTGACTCTGAACACCCCCCAGAGTATTTCTCAGCCTCCAGGGCAGTCCCATAGTGTTCATCGCTGTCAGATTCCACCAACAGCTCAGCCAGCTGCTGTTGGGCCACAACACATAGGGTATAAATATGGTGTATGTAGAGCAGAAGAGCCAATGATAGTTTTGGGGGGTTGATGGTAAGATGAATTGACATAATATTGAATAATACAAAATAGTGTTGGTTATGTAATGGTATACATGTGGTTATTTGTATGAAAATGAAAAAAAGAAACTTTTTTTTTAAAAAAAGGAGGGATCTATGGAAGACCGAATGAACTCGCATCAAGCATGGCAATGTCAGGCAGTAGGTGACTTGGTTGATGACCACTTCAACAGGGAATGGGCCATGGTACCGGTGGTCTAGCTTCCTGACCGTCTGGTCTGACAGAAGGTGCCTGGTGGACAATCATACCCAACCCCCCACCGCAAACGGTGGTGGCGGCCGCTGAGATCGGTCCGTGACTCTTTTATAGTCCTCCTTGGCTTTCTCCAGATACCATTGCACCAATTGATGGATGGCTTGCAACTCGGACAGATAGTCATTAGCCACCAGAACTGGTGAGTCGAGTTGCGTAAAGGGAAAGAACTGAGGATGATATCCCACATTGGCCAAGAAAGGGGTCGTTTGTGTGGAGGTGTGCTGCAAGTTGTTGAACGCGAACTCTGCTACTTACTGCCAAATAATCCAACCAATTGTCTTACAGCTGCTACACAAAGCAGCACAAGTATTGCTCCAGGATCCCGATGACTTCCTCAGTCCCACTGTCAGTTTCCGGATGATGTGCCGATGACAGGCAGATTTTCACATCTAAGGCAGTTATCAGCCCTTTCCAAAACTGGGCTGTAAATTGAGCCCCTCTGTCCGAAATGACCCTATCAGGTAGGCCGTGCAGCTGGAAGACATGTTGGATTAACATGCAGGTGGTAGCGCAAGCTGTCGGTAAACCATGACATGGAATGAAATGCGCCATCTTCATCAGCATGTCTACCACCACGAACACGGTCATGAATCCAGAAGACGGAGGCAAATCCGTCAAGGAGTCCATGGAAATGGCACCCCAGGGTCTCTCCAGTATCGGCAATGACTGGAGCAGCTCTGGAGGGGCTCCCATTGCCGACTTGGTTTGCCGGCACCATACACAGGATGTATCATAGGCCTGGACACTGTGTCGCAGTCAGGGCCACTAGAAGGTACAAGAAACTAGGTTCAATGTCTTAAAGAGGCTGAAGTGCCTCGTCACAGGATTATCATGGCACTGTGACAGAATAAGTCCTTGGAGCGGTCCCACCGGCATATATAGCCTGTCTTGGTACTGCAAGAGTTTCTCGGTAAACATCCATGGAGAAGCAGGCCCCACCTCCTCCTTCCGTTGCTCCACATAAGCATTGTGCCTCTGCGCTTCCCCTATCTGAGCCCGTAAGTCCACTGGTTCCTGAACTGCGGAGAAAGACTCTACAGGCAGAACTGTCTGGAGCAGAAGATGGCATTCGATGTGGGAATACTCCGGTTTCCACGAGAGCGCATCCACCCTTTGGTTGCAACCACTGGGGATGTAGGTGATGCGGAAATTGAACCTGGCAAAGAAGAGGGACCACCGAATCTGGCATTGGTTCAGTTTCTAGACAGTCTGCAGGAACTCCAAATTTTTTTTGTTTTTTTTTTAAAAGTAGTTCTTATTAAACATTATTACCTTTAAAAACAGAAAGAAAAAAAAACAACATAAGAAAAGACAAAACATACATAACAATATAAAGTAAATATACAGCCTTTTGTATCGGCATTCATTAGTTATACATTTTTTTTAAGCGTAAAGCATACAGATACAAATAAAATTTTAAACATACACCCCCCCTCCCCTCCCCCCCCGCGGTGACAGTCATTCACAGCCCAACTTTTTTCTTTCTGTTTTTAAAGGTAATAATGTTTA